CAAGTGTGACAGCGGTAGTGAGGTTGGCCCAGGATCGGACATTGTTTCGTTCTGCTATGCATTGGGTCGCTATGGGTCGGTTCCAACTCGATGGCACCTGACAAAAACAACAATCAGTTATAGGCTGAAAATGGACTTAAAAGCTTTCTGTGGTGATGCTCCTGGCTATTCCTCTCTCTCCCCCTTCAAGTGTCTATTTTACAATAGTAGACAAGGGAAACCAAGATTCAAAAGACAGCCAAGCATGTTAACATCATGTTAACATCTTCCTGAATGATGTTTTTGATGCCATCCCACAACACTTTTGGTCTTCAGTTTTTAGTGCCAAATGCATCAAATCTGTTCTTCAGCTGATCTCTAAATTCAGGTGGGATATGTTCGAGGTCATATTTTGGATCTCATGAACTTGCTTTAATTTATTTGTTTCATTTTGAACTTGCATATGATCAATGATGGTCTGTTGCATAGTCTGCCCCTGGCCTTGTTTGGGCTGATAATACGGAGCTTTTCCACCATCTCTTTCCATGGTTGTAGTCAGTCTGATTTCTATGTATTTCATCTGGTAATATGCATGTGTATAATCGTCTTTTATGTTTTTTTTAAAAAGGTATTAGCAATGAAGAAGTCATTGGCCTTGCAAAATTCTATCATGGGATTTCCAACATCATGTCTTTCACTAAGGCCATATTTTCCAACCACTGATCCTTCCTCTGTTTCCATCTTTTGCATTCCAATCACTAGTAATTATCAATGCATCTTGATAACATTTGATCAATTTCAGGTTGAAGAAGTTAGTAAAATTCTTCAATTTCATCATCACTGGCTTCAGTGGTTGGTGCATACATTTGAATAATAGTGGTATTAACTGGTCTACCTTGTAGGCATATGGATATTATTTTATCACAGACAGCTTTGTACTTTAAAATAGATTGTGAAATGGTCTTTTTGATGACAAATGTGATGCCATTCCTCTTTCATATGTCATTCCCAAATAGCAAACCATGCGATTGTCAGATTCAAAATGGCCAATGCCAGGCCTTTTCAGCTCACTAGGATATCAATGTTTATGTGTTCCATTTCATTTTTGACAACTTCCAATTTTCCTAGATTCATACTTCATACATTCCATGTTCTGATTATTAATGGATGTTTACAGCTGTTTCTCATTTTGAGTTGTGCCCCATCAGCAAATGAAGGTCCTGAAAGCATTATTACATTCATGTCATCACTGTGAACTCTGAAGACGCTGCTTTTCCCCAGTCACATTTTGAGTGCCTTCCAATCTGAGGGGCTCGTCTTCTAGCACTATATATGACAATGTGCTATTCATCATGTTTCAATATTCAATATTTTGGTGCTGACAGTGTTCCGCTGCCATTCATAAGGTTTTCAGTGAGTAGATATTTGGAAGCAATCCAGCTCTCTTTCTTCTTATTCTGGAAGCTTAGCTGAAACCTGTCCGCCATGGATGACCCTGCTGGTATTTAAAGTATCAGTAGCATAGCTTCCAGAATCACAGCAATATACAAACCACCACAGTAAGACAAACTGACAGACAAGTCCTGGTTCCAACTCATGTAGTGCTCTATGTAGTGCTTCCGAGAGCAGCTGGTGGATTTAAACTGCCAACCTTATGATTATCCTAGAGTGCCACATCAGGACACAAATGGATCTTTGGGAATCATTAATTTAATCCACTTCATATCTATCCCTACTTTAAGCACAATTGAATATGTGTTTTCTCACTACACCAAGAATCCCTACAATTCCATTAAATGTACACACATTCCTTTTAAGGGAATACCTCAATCTAAGGGCCCATTCCATTTTGGGTAGCTGTGACAAAATATCAGAATAGAAGTCCTTGGGAACCTCAAGATGCTTAAATCAGGCTTTTTATCACCTTCCTTTAGACCAGAATCTGACAGTTGTTGGTGCTGTTAGGTGCCATCGAGTTGGTACTGACTCATAGTGACCTTATGCACAGCAGAATGAAACACTGCCCGATCCTGGGCCAACCTCACTACTGTTGCCACGCTTGAGTCTATTGATGCTGCAACTTGGCCAATCCATCTCATTGGGGGTCTTCTTCTTTTTCTCTGACCCTCCACCTTACCAAACATGATATCCTTCTCCAGGGACTGGTCCCTCCTGACAAAGTTTGGTCATCTTGGCCTCCAAGGAGCACTCTGGCTGCACTTCTTGCAAAATGGATCTGACAGTTGTTGTTGTTGTTATGAGCTGTGGAGACGGTTCCTACTCTTAGTGACTCTGTACAGGGTTTCCGAGGCTGTAAATCTTTACGGGAGTAGAAAGCCTCATCTTTTTCCTGTGGAACAGCTGGTAGTTTCGAACTGCTGACTTTAAGGTTCGCAGTTCGATTCGTAAGCACTACACTACTTTAAAATTGGCCAAAACATATTTACAGTCAACAAAGGAAAATGATGTCATATTACTGATTTGGGCTAAGTACCCTGCATTTTGGAGTCCTGGTGTGGTGCTGTGGGTTAATGCGCCAGACTGCAAAGCCGTTTCAACTGCAAAGTTGGGGGTTCAAGCTCACCAGCAGCTCCTTGGAAACCCATTACAGTGTCGCTATGGGTCGGAAACCACTCGATGGCACTTAACAACAACAACCCTGGATTTTGGTTGTACCTCAAAACTTTCTGTCAGACTTTGGGGAACTCTCTTCCTGCCTTTAAATTCAATATGTTTTAACTAAAGATTAAATATTTAAATCACACGTAGACTAATAGAGAAATTTTAGTCATGATAATTTCCAGAACAAACCTTATTATTTGATCAATGTTCAAAGTTGTAGTGAAAACTGCTTTCATTTTTTTACCCCCTACTTCCACTTTTGCAAAGTCATTTTATTTGGGGTAGACCATTTTTCTTTAGAATTTTTACAAATGAAGTTTGATTTATTCATCTGTTTGATTCTTATTACAGAAGATACCATCAACCATGGAGCTTTCTTTGTGACCATTATTCCTAACAAGACCAATTTTTCCAGTTCAAAGCCAAAATGTGGTAAAGATTTGATCCTTGGATAAATTCTTAGTAACATGTTTTACTGGGTAAAACTTTAACTGAAATGGTTTCATTTTGTGATACTTTTCTTTCTTAATGTTTGAGTCAATAATACTCCAGTTTTCAATAAGACCAAGATGATTCCTCAGAATCGAAACTACCAGCTGTTGGTGAGATTAGCAGCCCAATTAGTAACCATTACGCTACCAGAGCTCCTTGCACTTAACATTTTTGTTGTTAAATGCTGTAGATTCAATTCTGACCCATAGCGACGCTGTATAGGGTTCCCGAGGAGCAGCAGCTGGTGAGCTTGAACCGCTGACCTGGCAGTTCAAACAGCTTTGCAGTTTGGCGCATTAACCCACAGCGCCACACCAGGACTCACATTAGAGGTTTGTTTTGTTTTGTTTTGTTTTGTTTTTTGGGGGGTGTCAACAACACAAGACATGAGGCCACAGGGTCAGCAATTTCTATTTCCCCTCTTAAAAATATTGTCTCGAACATTCCTTCTTATTGTTAATCACCATCCAGTCCAGTCGGTACTCAGTGATCCTGTATAGCTGCTCCAGGAGCAGCTGGTGGATTTGGACCCCCAACCTTAACAGTCCAGTGCTTATCCTACAGCGCCACACTAGAACTCAGCAGTCTTTAGAACGCAGAGTTTTAATTATTAAAATTAATCCGCTGTAGTTGTTAAGTGCCTTCGAGAGTATAGGACCCTGTATAAAGTTTCCCAGGAGCGGCTGGTGGTCTTCTACCGCCCACCTTGCGGTTAGCAGTCCAGTGCTTATTCTTCAGGGCCACACTATGACGCAACACTCGTTAAGTGTTGTAGAGTCAGTTCTGACTCATAGTGAACCTGTATCGGGTTTCCAAAGAGCGGCTGATGGGTTTGAACCGCTGACCTTGTGGCTAGCAGTTCAGTGCTTATCCTGTAACGTCACACCAGGACTCCTTAGAGTATTCATCAGCTAGGCTCTGTTAATGCCTGGGAGTTCTGAACCAGATCTTCAAACACAGTCCGCCAAGGGCTGATTTTCTCTTTCTCTCCAGCAGAGGCGATAGCCTTTTTCTAAACATAAATTGGGTCAGAATAAATCGTCTGGGAGAGTGGTCGGAAGAAAGATCAAAGATTTTAAACCGCCTTAAAGAGCAAAGGTCACAATACTAGATTCTCAAGGAGGCCTAAACTTCCATAGTCCCTTAAATATGAAGGTGACACCGCCCTAACACTAGTGCCTTTCTGAGAGGAACCGACTCCCAGGTAACAGACAACAAAAATGAAGCTGACGACAACCGGAAGTGGAAGTGAGCCCGGGGCGGGAGTGAGGAAAGGCCACGGCACGCCTGCGCAGTTAGTAAGAGGTGCAGTGCTCATGCGTAGCTGGGCGGTGATGGGATGAGTCTCGAAGCGTGGGCCGGCACTCTCACGGATCCGGTTCCGCCCTCCCTTTCGCTTGCGGACTCTGTGGGGATAGCGCCTGAAATCCCTTTCCCAGAGTGCTCTGCGCCGTGAAGAAGAGGCTCCCGGAGACTGGGGGCATTTTGTGTTGGCTGGAGCCGGAGGAACAAGATGGCGGCGTCGGCGGAGTGACAGGGGTTCCTCCGGGCGGGAGCCGGCGGCAGTGGTGGCAGCGGGAGCGCCACCTTAACTCACCGCACCCCTTTTCCAGTCCGCGACACGTCGCCGCGAAAGCTAGGCAGCGGTTGCTGCCAAGAAGTGGCCCAGCCTAGTAACCGCGAGAAACCCCTCACGAACTGCGGCCGGGCCAAAAGAAACCCGAGTGAGCGGCGGTGATCAGTTTCTTCTGGGCCCTTTCTGTGCCTTGGAACGCCGAGAAAGGATCCTCTTCGGGTTTCCGGCCGCCCTCCTCCGCAGCCTTGCTCCGTGGACCAGCCCCAGAGGCCCCGTCCTCCCCTCCTAGGTGCCGGGGCTTGGCCCCCGTCCTCCATCGTCGTTTCTCAGGATGGCGAGCAGCAGCGGCTCCAAGGCCGAATTCATTGTCGGAGGGAAATATAAACTGGTGCGGAAGATCGGCTCTGGCTCCTTCGGGGACATTTATCTGGCCATCAATATCACCAACGGCGAGGTAACCACCTGGGGTGGGGTTCGGGATCCAGCTGCTCCTTTCCCACCTCCGCACCCCCCAAGCTCCGGGGACCACGGGGGAGCCACTTGTTTTAGCGTTGGGACCTCCCCCGCTCTCCTGCCCTAAAAGGGAAAGAACCCCAGAGAAGGGTTGCGTGAACTCTGAAGTTTCTTAGCTCTTAAAATGTCCCACCAACCAACTTTGGGTTTTTATTTTTTTTTGTGGGGGCGGGACCCTCATTTAGATTGAGAAAGGTAAACTCCTATTTCTGAGTTTATCTGTATTTATAACAATTCACTGAGGTTCTTGTACCAGTGAGGAGAGTTTCCGATCGACTGGTTCCTGCCAAACCTCTCATCGCGTTCAGAGGTTGCCTCTTTTTGCGGGGTGAATCATTTTTCCTGCCTTTGAGAGGACGGACCGATTTCGCCACTGGCCCCGAAGAGATTTTTGGGGCTGATAGCTCGTTTCCTAATGACAGGACTTGCTCTTCCCGGCCCCCGGTAGTCGAGTGGGAGCTTGGCCAGTGTCTCCCCACCTTTTCCCCAGTGACATTGATCCCCCCCCCCAGGGATGTTGATGCCATCACCCCCTCTTGTCCCCTGCAGGAAGTGGCAGTGAAGCTAGAATCTCAGAAGGCCAGGCATCCCCAGTTGCTGTACGAGAGCAAACTCTATAAGATTCTTCAAGGTGGGGTTGGCATCCCCCACATAAGGTAAGAGCCGCCAGCGCCCCACGCAGGGGAGGGCGGGTGGGGACGCGGCTGGAAGCTGCCGCCCGGGCTGGGCGTCTGGGTAGAGCTGGTGGTTTCCTGTGACCCCGGGGTCACCCCAATCACGGAGTGCGGCTCCGTGGAGAACGCCCGGTGTGCTCGCATCTGGCTCCCGTCGCCGCCGTCAGTCCTGCCCGGCTTTCATTTGCAGCCAGCGTGCGGGGCATCTTTGATGCCTACGCCGGAGGGCGGGCTGCTGCGTTCTTTACGTCGGCACCTCTGATGTTCTTACATTGGTCCAGTCAAGTGGATCTGAAGGTGCCGGAGTGACCCGGCTCCGTCAGTAGGGGCTGCCATTGGAGCCGACTTGGGAAATGGCTGCTCTTTTGTTGTGTTTTTGTTCCAACATGTCTTCCTCCTCCGCTTAGAAAATGGCGGAGCGACGTGACTCAACCCCATATTCCTGCCCTTTCCTTTGCCTGGGTTCACAAGTCATGCTTCCTTGATTTCCCGTTGAGCTGCACTGAGTGGATTAAACCTTTGAAAAGCCAAGAATAACGCTGCAGGAGGCCAGGAGCTTCCAGGAGGTGGATGGCATAATGACAGCCTGTTTGTGATCTCTGCTGCAGAAGCTTCACCAAATTGTCAAATTACATAGTGCAAAATCTTTCCTGGTCCTCTCAAGGGGGTTAATTACTCTTTCCTTTGATCATGTGGCAAAGGCAGTTTAAGCAGCACCAACTATATTGATATTTAATCAAATCACTTGTGCTGAAAGAAAGGTTAATCACAGTTGATAAGTAATTGTAACCTGTTGCGTTGTATTATCAGTAAAACTTTGCATCAGGGAAATGCCTTTTTTGGGTTATGGGATATTGGTGAAAAGCAAATACTAGTAATAAAAGATAACTACCTGAAAACCACATTGGGTTTTCTTAAATGGTTAGCTTTATTATAAAAGGTATTAAAGTAGTGCGAGAATAAAGATCTTCATAGAGTAGACACTAAAATACAGTTTAAAACCCAGCTATTTTCCATCAAATACTCAGATAACATTTTCAAAAAGATCAGAAGTGGTTGAGAGTTAAATGGAGTATTTGACTTGTAGCCTCTCTTTCCTATTCAAGTATTTGAACACTATTTGATGCTCATAGACATTTGGATGGAGAAATTGAATGATAAAGCATATTATTGGTTGTAAGTGGTCAAGTAAATTGCTTTGAAGGAAATTCCAGGTTTCATGGAGTGAAAAGTAATGTGAAACCTGCTGTACACATTTGAGATTTTGAATGATTCCCATCTCCGGGAGGGGGCGGGGGGAGGGGCTAATTAATGTGGGAAGGCAATTTTTATTGTGGAACGATGAAAGTCATCATTAAAATACCTTGCTTTTTTCTCCCCAAAATGGAAAATGTGAATGGGACTAATATGTAAGATATATTACATTTACGTGCTCCTGTACAAGACAGGTTTTTGTTTTTATTTTTTAAAAAAACAACTGGAAAAATGTAAAGAAATTGCTTGTTTTGTTTTTCCCCCAAGACAAATGAGCACTTTTGAAGTTCAACAAAGTTCATACAGAATTCTATTTCTTTTTAAATTGCACTGCATTTTTAAATAACAGATTTAGGGCTGTCAGGATTCCAGCCTTTTCAATTTGCTAATAAGTCATATTATGTTGAATTAACATTAAAATGGATCACTTGGGTTTAGAATCATTTCATTACATTTATCACAGTGTATCCTGGTGTGGTGCTGTGGGTTAATGCACTGGACTGCGAAGTTGGTTTAAACCTAAAAGTTGGCAGTTCAAGCTCACAGTGTACAGGAGTATAACCACTACCACAGTAAAGATTTGGCTGATCTATCATTCATTTCACAAGGCAGATTAATGTATTTGAAATCATTTTCCAAAAGCATTAAGTGTTTATCTGAGATTTTCAGTGCTAAGCCCAAGTTCAAGTTGTGTCCTTTTATCAGGTAGCTTTGTTTAAGAAGGGCCACAGTGCTATTAAGGTCAGCGGTTCAAGCTCACCAGTGGCTCCTTGGAAACCCTATACAGGGTCGTTATGGATCGGAACCGACTCAATGACACTTAACAACAACAGTGATATAAACCAACAAAGGCAATGGATAACATGCCGGATAGGTATATAGATAAATGAAATTAACTTGTGAGCAGAATAATAGACACCTGTTCCAACGTGAATGAAGAGAGTTATTTATGGTAGTTAAAAACTGGGCAAGGCTAAAGAGAGTTAAAGCTTTCAAGTTAAGGTTTTCTGGAAGACTAGCTGGGATTTCAGGATCTGTTTCTCAGGAAGAAAGCTTGGTGAGCTGGTTAGGGAGGGGACATCTAAGAATAAAGTGGCTTCTGGGAGTAGTCTAAGGCAGAAATGCAGTAACTGAATGAGGGTAGGGAAAGGGTAAACTTGTTTTAGGAGTGGTACAATCAAGTACATAGAAGCAAAAGCAGTTCATTGGTTTGAAAGTGAAGAGTACGAGAACTGTTTAGTGGGATAAGCTATATACTTACATTCTTTATATGGGTGACAACATCTTCATGTCCTCTCAGTTTGTTGCCCATTATTTCATGAGCTTCACTTTATTGTGCTTTGCAGATACTGCACAATTTACAAATTGAAGAGTTGTAGCAACTCTGCATCAAGCAAGTCAGTTGATGCTATTGTTGTTATTAAGTGCCATCAAGTCGATTCTGACCCATAGCCACCCCATATAGGGTTTCCAAGTAGCAGCTGGTGAGCTTGAATGGCCGACCTTGTGGTTCGGGCCGACCTTGCAGTCTAGTGCGTTAACCCTCAGCGCCACACCAGGGCTCCATTGGTGCTATTGTTGTTGTTGTTGTTATGTGCCGTGGAGTCGGAACCGACTCATAGCGACCCTGTACAGGGTTTCTCTTAGCATCTGCTTAATAGACGGCTCAGGAGCTCTGGTAGCATAGTGGTTACAAATCGGGCTGTGAACCTTAAGGTCAGCAGTTCGAAACTACCAGCTGTTCCGTGGGAGAAAGATGAGGCTTTCTGCTCCCGTAAAGATTTATAGCCTCGGAAACCCTGTACAGGGTTGCTATGAGTCGGAACCAATTCCATGGCACACCACCACCACCATAGTGTGTGTGCATTGGAACCCCCCCCCCCCAAAAAAAAAAAAAAGTGACTCACTTTTTTGGGATAATCGCTTTGCTTTGGTGGCCTGGAACTGAACCTGCAACACCTTACAAGGTATGCCTATATATGTGACCAACCAGTTGCTGTGGAGTTGTTTCTAACTTATGGCAATTCCATGTGTGTGTCTTGGGTTTTCAATGGCTGATATTTTGGAAGTAGATTATTGTTGTTGATAAGTGTCATCGAGTCGATTCCGACCCATAGTGACCCTGTATAGGGTTTCCAGGGAGCAGCTGGTGAGCTTGAACCACTGACCTTGCAGTTCAAACGGCTTTGCGTCTGGCGCATTAACCCACTGTGCCACACCAGGACTCCTTGGAAGTAGATGGCAGGCCTTTTTTGAGAAGCACCTCTAGGTGGACTAGAACCTCCAACTTTTCAGTTAGCACCCAAGTGCATTGACCATTTGCATATACTATTTGCATATACTTAAATGTTTGCTTGTTTTTGTTAAGGTACCATGAAGTCGGTTTCGACTCATAGTGACCCTGCACAGGATTTCCGAGGCTGTAAATCATTACAGGAGCAGAAAGCCTCATCTTTCTCCCACAGAACAGCTGGTAGTTTCGAACTGCCGACCTTGAGGTTAGCAACCTGGTTCATAACTATTACGCCACCAGAGCTTGGTAAATATTACAATGTCTGTTTAGTCTTAGATTAAATAAGGCCATATTTGTTTATCTAGTATTATAAGTGCTGATACTAATTAAAAATTTTTACTTTTGCCACATTTACCCTTCACACAGGGAGCCCTGGTGGTACGGATGGTTATAAGCTTTTGGCTGCCAGCTGAAAGGCTAGGGGTTTGAACTCACTCAGTGACTCAGGGGGAAAGACCTGATAACCTGCTTCTGTAATGATTATAGCTAGGAAAACTATAGGACAGTTACAACTGTCACATGAGGTCACCATAAGTCAAAATTGACTCAACGACACCTAACACATGTCCCCTGCTACGTTTTCTTGAACTCCTATCCCCTTGCAAATATTTTGTTCCAAGAATTTGATTTCAGATGCTATGTTGGGATGCCATTAAGTAAGTAAGGACTGAAAATGACCTAGTCCTTCATAGCAGACCTGCCTGATGAAGTCCTATTGTGTAATTTGAGGAACCTATGTTGATCTATAAGGAGCTCTGGTAGTGTAGTGGTTACAAAATCAGGCTGTGAACCTTAAGGTCCGAAGTTCGAAACACCAGTGGTTCCGTGGGAGAAAGATGAGGCTTTCTGCTTCTGTAAAGATTTACAGCCTCGGAAACCCTATGCAGGGATGCTATGAGTTGGAACCGGCTCCACGGCACATAACCACTACCACCACCATGTTGATACATGGAGCCCTGGTGTGATGCTGAAGGATAAGCAATAAAATGCAGGGTCAGTTTGAACAAGGTCAGTGGTTCAAACTAAGTAGCTGCTCCAAGGAAACCCTATGTTGTTAAGTGCCTTCGAGTCTGTTTTGACTCACAGCGACTCTGTATAGGGTTTCCGAGGAACTGACTCAGCTGAACATAACAACAAATGTTGACGTATAGTGATGAAGTATTTGGCTGCTAACCCAAAGGTCACAGGTTATCAAACTCACCAGTCACTTGGTGGAAGAAAGATGTGACCATGTGCTTTACAACTATGAGTTGAGTTGAGTTTGTGTTTTATTCCTAAATGGAAGCATAGCATTTAGTGTGTTAAAGAGCAAGAATGAGGTTGGCATCCAGTCTGGATATTTTGAGAGTTTAAATTCCTTGGACTGTGTGGATTGGTGTCTGGGAGTTCACTGAAAATTAGCATACCACTGTTTTTAAATTAGTGTACAACCCTA